AATCCTGGAATGCTTTTTGTAGATGCCTGATATCCCTTTTTCTCTCTAGTTTGCTGAGAGTTGATATCATGAATGGGTGCTGAATTTTGTTAAATGCTTTTCCACATTTATCAAAAAGGATCATTTAGTTTTTGTCATAGTATGGTCACTTAAACTGATTGATTTTCAAATGTTAAACCAATTTCATATTTCTGGGATAAAGCCCACTTGGTCATGATGTATTATCCTTTTTAAATGTATTGCTGGATTTGATTTGCTAATATTTGGTTAAGTATTTTTGTATCTATGTTCATGAGGGATATTGTCTATAGTTTTATTGCAATGGTTTTGTCTGGTTTGGTATCAGGGTTACACTGACCTCATAAAACAATTAGGGAATTATTCCATCCTGTATAGTTTGTATAAGATCAGTGTTATTTCTTTCTTAAGTATGTGACAGAATGCAGTAGAAAGATCATCTAGTTCTGGAGTTTTCTTTGTCTCTGTGGACAGTTTTTTTTTTATAGTTAACTAATTTCTATAATAAAGGTAGGACTATCGATATTTGTCATATCATTTCGTGTCAGTTTTGGTAGGTTGAATTTTTAAAGAAATCTGTCCATTTCGTTCAAGTCATTGAATTTAACGTAAAATGCATCATAATTTTTCTTTGTTATTCTTTTAAAGATGACAATTCATCTTCCCTCTCTTTTTGTTCTCAATCTAGCTAGAGTTTTATTACTTTAAAAAAATATTTTTTTCAAACAACCAGTTTTGGCTTTGTACGATATGAAGGGTGCTTACAAAATTACAAAATCCCTGTCCCAAAATATCTCTGCTTCCAATTTGTCACACTACAGGAGGTCCCAGATATTTGTATCATTTCTGATTTCATTCTAAACTATAAGCTTCTTACAGATAGGGACTATTATGTCTGTACCCTGGAATCCAGCACCTGTCATAGTGCCTGGCCTGTGTCATTGATCATTAAAGGCCATTGCGTTGAGTCAAATAAGCTTGTCTTTAAAATGTAAATACCCAATTTCTGAATGTCCAAAAAATTAAAAGTCCATAAGACATAATTAAAAGCAGAATGGGTTGACCAGACTAAATAAAGTACTGTTAAAAATTCATAAGAAACACAATATTATTCCAAGTAGCAAAATGAATGAGATCCATGAACACTTTAAAAATAAGAAACACAAGGTAGGAAGGTATAGCTCAGTGGTAGAGGGCGTGCTTGACTCTACTTGCTGCTTCCTGGCTTTATAATGTTGAGAAGGTCATTTTATAGTCTGAGCCTGTTCCCTCTTCTGTAAAATGGAAATGGTCTTGTCTTAAAGACAGAGAGCTGCAGGATTACAGGAGCAGGTAAGTACAGCATGTTAGCACAGGGCGTGGCACAGAGTAGATGATGAGAAAGAACTCTCTTACCTGTTTCAGGCAGCTGCTTCATCCAAGTCTCCATCCTTCTCTGAAATCCTACAGCTTCCTTCACCTATCTCAACAAAATTTCCAGCTCTTCGATCACTTTCTCTCTTTTGTCTCCTTGGCCTTCTAGTCTCACTATTTCTAAAATCTCCCTAACATGGAAGACTGAATCAATTTGCCTCAATATAGTTTTCTTAGCTACTCCCCTCCTATTGGATACGTAGTTTATTTCTACTTGCTTATAAGATGTTCTGTAAATCAAACTCCCACATGATGAAGTTTTCTGCTCTGAGAGTTAATCCTCTGGCTTAGTGGGGATTTGGTCTCAACATTCACTGAAGTCTTGAGATTATTTCATGATTGGACTCACGTGAGAGATGTTTGCTCCGTTTGTGTCCTCTCTTTTTAGACCTGTTCCAGGAGACAGCAAGTTTCCTGAAACAATCCTGCCAGCAGGATTTCTACGTTTAGTGGGAGGAAGGAAAGGAGGGAACAGAGGAAGAAAAAAGAAAGAGTGACAGAGGGAGGGACAAAGGGAGAGAAGGAGAGAGAGAAGGAGGCGGGAGGCAGGTGGCATAGTAAATGCTCACTGGATACTTGTTGAAGAAATGAAAGAATGACATCATCTATTTTGTAGATGACGACCTAATGTTCAGAAAGATTAAAAAGCTTGCCCGGGAACATGGTATTGGACCCCAACTTTGATCTCTGGTCTGTGAATCCAGTTCCACTGCTCTCTCTTCTACACCTACTGGGACACATCTAACTTAGCGCTACTCAAATGCCTGTCTACAAGGAGAAAAGGGTCTTATGACTTATTGTAAATTAATGCACCACTTCCTTCAAGAAAGTCTTGCTAAGAAATAAAATTGCTAACCAAACTAAACAGCATGCCTAGTGACTTCATGTTCTGGTGAAAGTCCCTAATTTTTCAATACAGATAGTTCACCAACCAGTAGCTGGACCTTGGATCTCATTTTTTGATAACATGAGTCCTACTGCTCTCTAGCGTAACCACAGGGCTTTAAACTACACATCTCCATCATTTCAGATGCTCTTAACGTCTAGATGGAGCCCTCAGACATCCCGGAGACCACCACCTCTTTTGAGTATGATCCTCAGAGCTTTCTGTGTGAGAAGAAGACCTTCGTCTTCGCCACCTTCAGCACCACCATCCTGTACTGCCTGGTCTTCTTTCTCAGCTTGGTGGGCAACAGCCTGGTGCTGTGGGTCCTGGTGAAGTATGAGAGCTTGGAGTCCCTCACCAATGTCTTCATCCTCAACTTGTGTCTCTCAGACCTGGTGTTCTCCTGCCTGTTGCCCGTGTGGATCCTGGGATACCACTGGGGCTGGTTGCTGGGAGACTTCCTCTGCAAGCTCCTCAACATGGTCTTCTCCATCAGCCTCTACAGCAGCATCTCCTTCCTGACCATCATGACCATCCACCGCTACCTGTCCGTGGTGAACCCCATCTCATCCCTGCGCGTCCACACCCTGCAGCGCCGCATGCTGGTGACCATCGCCGTGTGGGCAGCCAGCGTCCTGTCCTCCATCCCCGACGCCATCTTCCACAAGGTGTTCCCTTCGGGCTGTGATTATTCAGAACGCGAGGGGTTCCTGGCCTCAGTCTACCAGCACAACATCATCTTCCTCCTCTCCGTGGTGATCATCCTGTTCTGCTATGTGGAGATTCTCCGGACCCTGTTCCGTTCGCGGTCCAAACGGCGCCACCGGACAGTCAGGCTTATCTTCACCATCGTGGTGGCATACTTCCTCAGCTGGGCCCCCTACAACCTGATCCTGTTTCTGCAGACACTGTTGAAACTTGGGGTCATTCAGAGCTGCGAGGTCAGCCAGCAGCTGGATTATGCCCTGCTCATCTGCCGCAACGTTGCCTTCTCCCACTGCTGCTTCAACCCTGTGCTCTATGTCTTTGTCGGGGTCAAGTTCCGCAGACACCTCAAAAGTCTGCTCCGGCGCTTCTGGCTCTGCCGGCAACAGGCGCCCGGCCTTCCCCCATCACCTCACCCCCCAGGTGCCTTCACCTATGAGGGCATCTCCTTCTACTGACGGGGAGTTTGAGGGGACAGGCAGAGGTGGGCAGAGGAGCTGGAGGAGGCGGGGCTGAAGGAGAAGTTGGGCAGGAAGGAACATGGAAGGCAGGACACCGGGAAATGCTACAGCTGCAGGTGTGGGAGTGAAAGAAATACATTACACCAGGGAGTCCCACATGCCCCCTCTTCTGCAGAAAATGTCCCCACCTGGAAATTTTTTATTGCCATCCAGAAAAACGCTTCTTAGATTTTAAGAAAATTTTTATCTCTTATTCCCTCATTTATTCATTCATTTAGACATGGATTTCTTATCCTTGCTTAGTTCAGAGGGCTCTAAAATGTGAACGAATTCCTAGAAAGGAACATCCTTCATGACTTTATGAGGGTCTGAAATTCCATTGTGCAGAGGTTGCTGGCAAGACCATCTCTCCCCTCCCTGATTGTAGGGTTATCCCTGCTGATTTGGGAGGGGGTTGGCTCTGGGTGACTGCTGGATGAGGCTGTCTGCAGGACAAAAGTAATCATATCCTCAAACAAGGACAATCAGAATGAAATCCAGATTCTGAAAACCGACAACTGGACAGGAGACATGTTCTGGGTCATGGTACCAGTTTCTAGCACATGAACTGGCACTTGCTTATTTAGTCTATGAATCTTTTATTGAAAGAATGAATGCAATAAGTGCCACCTTCTGCAGGCATTTATTTGGAGGATATGAAGATGAACGAGATGCAGATGCTACCCTCCAGGTGCCAACAGTCCAGCTCGGAAGGCCCAGAGAAGTAAACACCCACCTTGATGAAGGCATCCGGAGGGGGAAGACTCTGCTACAATCTCCTCATCTCCAGGTGGATATTGTGCTGACATTTCTGATTCATCATTTTCCATCTAAAATGTTCTCCCCCGTCTTGGTTGATGGTACCAGCTTCCCCACAGTCACCCACACTCGGACTCACATCACCTTTGAGCCCTGCATTTCCTCTCCCTCCAGTCCCACGGCCAGATCCTGTTGACGTTGCCTTCCGCATGTCTCTCTAATGCTCACGGCTTCATCCCCAAACAGCCTCACTTCCTCCGCATCTTCCTGTTGCTCATTTCTTCCCCACCAAGGCTCCTCTGCATTGACATCAGGTTGCTTCAAAGCCTTAGTGGCTCCTCATTACGTACAAGTAAAGCTGAAGACCTCAGCAGGTCGTTCAGGGCCCTTATAATCTGGTGCCAACTAACCTTCCATTCTTTCTGCTTTTATTCCAACCTAAGCCCCCTACCCCCAGGCAGCGTGGGATCCAGCCACAAAAGGCCACTGGCCCTTTCCCAGACACCCTTCTCCCAGCCTCCTCTGGGCCTTTGTTGTGCTGGGCCTTCTACTCCCTAACCTGAAATGCCCCAGCTGACATGCCAGCTCCTTCAGGTGGCTGTCTGCAATCTGTAAATCAGAGGGGCACTCTCTGGGTTGCTTCTGCTCGTCCTCTCTAAAAAAGTCCGTGTCACTCTCCAATGTGTTACACCCATGGATGTCTTATCCCCCTGCCCCATCAGACTGCAAACTGCCTGCGGGCAGGAACCTGATCTTGCACCCTGCCAAGCATGGGGCCTGGTGTTCTATCACTGTGTACTGAGTGGGAGCAAAGAATGACAGCTGTCATTTTTCTTCCAGTTTATGCTTTTTGGGCCGCCACGTCCATGGGACACATTTTACCTTGTTTGCCCCAGGCTGCTGCTTTATAAATATTAACCTTTCTTCGCTAGTCTGCACTTACATTGCTTATCCCTCTCCGTGGCAATGGCTGAACTTGCCCTGGCCTTTTAATTAGTAGTACATATGCCTGCCTCTTACACTATCCCACAGCTTCACATCCAAGGACATAGACAAAAGGCACCCTCTCAGCTTTTCCATATCCCACAGACCTGGTCCCAATCTGTGAACCTGATTCAGCTCTGGAGTGACCCCTTTGGAAAAATGCCCCAGGTGATTCTGCCATGCACCCCAGTTAGGAACATTTGGCTGCAACTCTTTGAAAATAGGAATTCCAGAGTCTTCTACCCCTTGAGCAGGACTTTGTACACAGCAGTCACTCCATACATGCTTGTTGAATAAAGTAGTTCCTAATGCAGCCCTTAGCTGAAGCCTAGAGAGCTTGTAAAGCACTTTCCCCTTCAGTTCCTGCTACAATTTCAATGATCTGTTTGCCACTGGGTGGCCAGCCTTGAAGAAGTTTGACCTGGCTGGGGAAGAGTGAGGGTCTACTTTTAAGAATTAGGCCTGTAGCACCTGTTGGAGAGGGCTGGGTGGGGCACCAGTGAAGGGATAAAACTCTTGTGGCCTTACTAACCAATTGGTGGGGACATCACCCACCACAGAAGAAAGAAATGGCCAAAAGAAAGGGGCAATTAGATAGTCCTGAGGTCATAGCCAAGTCTGTGGGCTTCTGGTCAGCCTAATCATTCCACATTCCTTCAAACTGATAATATTAAAATTTTATTCAACTTTTATTCAGACGGCAGGCTGAGCCCAGGGAGCAGAAGGGCAGAGGACTCCAGCTCACACACCCACTTCACCAAACCAAAGCACAACAGGTTTTGAGCCTACTCTTCTTAGAAGGCAGGTTGGGGGATCTTGTGTCACTACAGAGTATGCCCTTTGAGATCATCTCTCCACCATCTCCTCACCCCATCCCATTCCTGAACATCCCAAGATGCTTATCTAAGTGTTTCTTTCAACACCTACAGCCATTTCCTGGGAGCACTTCATTAGTACAATTGTGTTTGTCTTTTTACATTTCTGCTGATGTTTTGGCATCCCCAGTAGACTAGCTCCCAGGGTAATCTTTAATGCAGTGTCTTCTCCTAATCTAGCTCCTTGAGACTCCAAAGGAAGAGGCACAGAGAAAGAGAGGTGTGAATGGGAAGATGGAGGGGCACCCCTGGGTGGAACAGCTAGCTGAAGGAAGCAGCCAGCCAGCTGTACACCAGTGACTATGCTCCACCTTTGTTTATCACACTCTTCATGGGCCACAGTCTCCTGCTTTCCCTTCCCTCCACCCACTGAAACCGCTGCTCAACCTCATCTGGACCACTGTGGGCCTCTCCCTCCTGCTCCAGGGCCCTGGACATGGGGCTGCAGACTTTCTGCCATTCCTGGAGCAAAAACAATCCACAGTGGCTTCAAGGGAATATCCTCTTCACAGCATTTCCACCTCCATACTCTCTCAGACAAAATCAGCAAGAGAAGAAGCTTGCTGATCTCTAAATAGGAAGGTGGCTCCAAGCCCAGGGCAGCCCCTGACCAGCTGGAGTAGAAGGTCCTTGAGGGCACAAGCCCCGTTTTGCATATCTAGAACATCCCTCAGTACCCAACAATGTTTGTGGTTGGTTAAGTAAGTGGATAGGAGACCATCTTTTTTAGCTTTTTTCTACTTTTGTTTCTTCTTCACACACTTGCTTATGTTACATCTTCCAGTTAATACCAGGCACTGCCCAATGGGCTTCCCATGAACTCTTCTCCAGGGCCCACCAGCCAAGACATCGCTTGGTTTGTTGAACCCCTAATGGCTTTCATTTGTGAAACCTGCCTGTGACCAGACAAATACTAATTACTCTTAAAATCATCTCATAAATAGAGAAAGCATCATGTATCACATATGCAAATAAACGATTAGCATGTAATGACTGACTGAGCTGGTTATGTTCCCCTCCTTTCTACCCAAGATCATTATACATGATTCTTAAAAGTTCTCTGCTTGTGAGGGATCTGGGTTAGGATCTTGGGTGAAAGGAGGGATACAGAAGGAGAACTGGAGATAAAATGTGGAACAAGCCCTGTGTGGGTCAGTAGGAAATTGGCTCCAATCAGGCATTAGGCGAAATTGTTCAGGAGGCCAGGTCTGTCTTGAGTGCTCCTAGCCTCAGTTTTCTGTCCCAGTCTTTCCCCTGGCCTGGCACCTGAGTTTCCTGTCTTTGAGTCCAAGGTTTTTATTTGATCTCCTGTTTCTGAACAAGGACCTTCCAGAGATCAGCCCTCCAATCAGAAGGAATGACACCACTTCCTGCTGGGAATTTCAGGCCTCTTGAAAACTTGGTAGGAGATATTTTGCAGGTTTGTGGGCAACTTTAGGAAGGGGAAGAAGGTTATTCTAAATCCTCACTAAGTTATTCTGAGTAGAGAGCTCCCCTCTCCACCTTGGGGCCAGCCCAGATTTTAGGTGGAGGGTTGTTGCAATCCCCTCCCACAAACCCCACCCACAACCCCTCCACGAAATAGTGTGGCTAGAAGGACCAAAGGAGGACAAAGGTGACCGGGCTCCTTGACTTTGATGATTTCAGAAAATCTGCCTTGCGTATCACCCAATGGTTAGAGAGAAGACACGGACAACCAGTGGGCATGGGGAATTGGATGGTTGCAGGGATTAGAAACAGGGTGGCGGGGTGGGGAAGAGAGGGATATGTAGACCTCCAGGAGGTCCCTGGTCACTTTCGTAGAGGGCCTGCTCAGTGTGAAGGCAGCAGGAGGCAGGAGGAGCACAAGGGGAGTGGGACCACAAAGAGAAATTAGCCCCGCTCTCAAGTTGTCCTTTCTCTGGCCATTCTACCTGGGGAAAGATGTACATAGGATTACTCTAGTCCCAGGGAGTTCTTGGTCCTTTTTCCAGATGTCCTGGATGAACCCGGAAGAGAAAATGACCTGGCTTGATTGTCCAAACAACTGGGAATGCACATGTCATTAAAACTATTCCAGGGCACTTTGTAATGAGCTATGGGAGTCTGGGGAAGAAGGTGCCCACCTATATCTATCTGTTCCCTTGACTTTGGTTAAAATTGGTTCAACAGTCTGTCTCTGATCTTTTCTAGTAGTTTGGATAATGTAAGTTAAAAACAACAACAGCACTGAACAATGCTAATTTTTCAAAGCATCTTCTGTTTATTCCCAAATTAGAGGAAACCCACAAATGCTGACTTCAATAGGAAATCACATTCACTTTTCTGGCTGGGTCCTTAGCAAGCCATTCCCCCTCCTTTAGGGCTTATTGATTCAACTTAACTGAAGAGGTTTGAAATTATAGATCTCTAAGATCCCTTCCTATGACTTAAAAAATGAAACCTGTAATTTCCTGACTTGTGTTTCCGTGAGGTCCTTCAGGGGATACAAATCTATAGCTTAGGGCATATTACAGGTTGAAGTGGTGTCCCTGCCACCAAAATCATATGTCCCAAGTCCTAACCCCCAGTACCTCTGAATGGGACCTCATCTGGAAATAAGGTCATTGCATATGTAATTAGTAAAGATGAGGTCATACTGATTTGGGCAGGCCCCTAATCCAATATGACAGGTGTCCTTAAAAAGGAGATGTTTTGGACACAGATACAGACAAAGGGAGAATGCTGTGTCAGAACTGGAGTTCTGCTACCACAAGTCAAGGAGCACCAAAGATTGCCAGCAACCACTCAGAGGGGCACAGAATAAATTTTCCTTCACAGCCTCAGAAGGAACCAACCCTACAGATACCTTGATCTCAGACTTCTAGCCTTGAGAACTGTGAAACAATGCTTTTCTGTTGTTTAAGCACCTAGCCCATGGGACTTTGTCATAGCAGCCTGAGCAAACTAATAGAGGGCACAAATTTCAGTAGATGTGAGGGGAATTCCAGTGCATCTCAGAACCCCCATGAGGTTTCAGTATCTACCTCGCCCACCCAGAAGATTGCCCCTAACAGAAGACATGCACAGGAGATTGGAAACTGATGTTTCTGGAAACCTACTCTGTGCCAGGTCCATACATTTCCACATCTCACAGCCGCCCTGAGAGATTTCGGTTTCCCCACCTAGGCCAAGGGCTCGGAGAGGTCACACTCCAACATCCAGGGCATGGTTCTTAATCTGGGCGGCATGGTAAGTCATATGAGGAAATGGGAAAATAGTGATGCCTGGGTCCTACCCCCAGAGATTCTGATGCAATTGGCCTGGGTTGTGACCTGGCACCAAAATTTTTAAAAGCTCCCTGGTGGTTCTAAGGTAGAGCCAAGTTTGAGAACAACTAACCCACTGTATTTACTCATTTGGGCATTCACTCAATAAATATTTATTGAGCACCAATCATGTGCCAGGCACTGTGCTACATTCCTTGCACACATGACTCCACATCCTTACAACCACTTTGTAAGGTAGGCATCCCTCACCCAGATGAGAAAGCAAGGAGCTGGAGAGGTTAAATACTTGCTCAAGCTCAGGGAATCAGAGCCAGATCAGGGATTTTCATCTCAGGTCTGTCTTGTCCCCGAATACCTGTCCTTTCTAGCACATCATGCTGCTTCTTCAAACAAGGGATGTGTCCATCAGACTCTTAACTGTAATCAACAGAAATCACTTCTGGCTGTTATGCAGAAACAAAGTGTAAGGAAAAGATATTGGGCATGGTTAGGTTGTGATTGTGTCAGAGAGGTGTCATGTTATCTGCTAACTGTATCACAAATGGTTCCGCAAAAAGAAAAAGAAATGTGTATGATTATACATAAACATAGGAGAAATAAAATACAGAATGGTATATACTCATAAAAGGGGAGAAGATGCTGGACAGCTCACAAAGTTGAGGGGTAGGCAGGAGAAACAGGTAGAACAAAGGGAGGCTGTCTCTGGCATCACCAGGTGACGCAGTCACATGGCCAGTAGTTGATGCCAGGGCTGCCCCTGGGCTGCAGTGATGGCCTCTCTGACAGATGGACTATCAGAGAGTCAGACTTCTTATGTGGCATCTGGCTTCCCCCAGAAGCAACCCCAGGAGAACCAGGTGACTATGTGGCCTATCCCAACCTAGTCTCAGAAGTTACATAGTGTCACTTTTGCAGCATTCTGTTGGTTACAAGCCACTCACTAAAATTGGCTCAGATTCAAGGGGAGGAGATAGACCCCCATCTCTGGATGAGAGGAGTGTCAAAGACTTTGTAGACAAATTTTAAAACTTCCACATTCATCTTCTTCAAGTTTGCTAAAAAACGTCACCTTCTCAGAGAGACTCTCCCTTCCTACCTGCTCTGCAGCCCCCACCCCAGTCCCAGCCTCTCGACTCCTTTTCTCTGCTTTAATTTTTTTCTCTGTAGTACATCTTACCTTCTAACGTACTGTTTAAATTGTTTATTTATCATGTTTATTATCTGTCTCCCTCCTCTAGAATGTAAGGACCATGAGAGAGTAAATCCATGAGAATGCAAACAAATTCTTTAAATGTAAACCCGTGAAATTTTTGCCTATTTTGTCCATTGCTGAAGCATCTAGACCAAAGGTCAGCAAACCACCTCTCTGGGGACTGCCTGCTGCTTGTTTTTGTAATTAAACTTGTATTGGAACAGACATGTCCATTCATTTTGTATTGTCTGTGGCTACTTTTACATTATAATGGCAGAGCTGAGCAGTTGCAACTGAGACTATAATGTCCATAAGTCTAAAATATTTACTAATTGGCTCTTTATAGAAAAAGTCTGTTGACCTCTGATCTAGAACAATGCCTGGCATGTTCTAGTAGCTCAATAACTATTTGGTGAATGAATGAATAGATACCCCTGATTTGACCAAATACAACTTTTCCATTGCCAGGCACAACTCTGTTATGATTTTTAAGTCTAAAACAGAGGGTGGAGCACTAAAAGACCTGTTTAGACAGTTTTCTCAAAATAAGGAAACATTTTGCCAAAGATGAATTGGAATACTTTTCCCTTACAGGAGAGATGAACGGCTCACAACTGCAGAAGAGCAAATCTTCAGCTTCCTGCGCTTCTGCCAAGGACTTAGTTTCAAACAGTAAGAAGTTCCCCAAAGTTCCTGTGGTATAGAACTTTGTCTTTTTTTTTGTCTTTGTTTTACTCTGTGTTTTCAAAACTTATTTGACCACAGAGCCCTATGTTTTTTGTGAAATGCCCTTTAACATCGCAGGGAACTAATTATCTTATGAAGAGGGTAACTATATAATGTATTGCCAAACTGGGACACTGCTGAGAAGGAAGAGAGGAGCTATAAATATTCATGCTGGGAGAACAGGGCTCTCCTGGATGAACCAGGAAGTATGGACACCCTATTCTGGGGGAAATTCTGTTTTATACAATTATAATTCAAAATAGGAAAAAGTCCATCAAAAAAGTGTATCATCAAGTGCTTGTTTTAAGTTTTCAAAGGTTTTCAGTTGGGGGTGGGTAGGTTTTGAGGAGAAAAGCCAACAGTACAGTCATGGAGGAAAAAAACCTGGAAAATGTACATGTCAGGATTCAAAACTGTCAGGTTCTGGAGCACCGAAGTCCAGATCTTTCTGCACTATCGATGGGCAATTACTGAAAAGCAGACTTCTGTAGGGGAGCGTGATTCAATGAACTTGAATTCGCTATTTCTGCAATCAACTTCTGATTCCCTCTGTGGGTCTTACAGTCAGATTTTCCAGAAAAGGAGACTGATTTAACTAGTCACCAAGAAGAGGCTGGTTCTTTTGAGTTGAGCTGCCACATCAAGCCACCAGTGTGTCTGGCATCAACTTCCGCCTGCTGAGCAGGGACCAAGATGATGAGTCCCCTGGCAGAGGACATGCTGTCCCACATAAGGAGCGCTAACACAGTGGTAAGGATTTAAACCCTGTGATCAGACACACCTGAGCTAAAACCTGTCTCTACTTGCTATTAGCCATTGACCTTGGCAAGTTACTTACCCTCCCCAAATTTCAATTTGCTCATCTGCTTAACCGGGATACTTATGTGTCAAGAGATTGATATGAGGCATGTTTACCTTGGTGCCTGGCGCATAAAAAGCCCGTGAAGAATGGGAACAGTTACAAAAAGAGCCTCTTCCCTCAATGGGGCTGTGGGCATGGCTAGCTTCCCATGAGGAGCAGACTCTTCTGCTTAGGAAGACAGTAAGGAGGGTTTTGGTGATTTTTGGATCTGATCTCTTTATTTAGTGTGTATTCACACCAGAGCACAAAAGTGTGCTGAGTTTGTTTGGATAAGTTTAGTTTGAACTACTCAGCTTTATCTACAAAGGAAATCCAAGTTAAACTGCCTGAATAGTAGTGATTTTGAAACCTCCTTCCCTGTGCTTGAGAGACTGTGTTGGGTGGACAGAGGACCTCTTAGGAGCCCCTGGCTGTACCCTAACCTCTACCAGTTACCAGCTGTGTGAACTGGGACAGTTACTTAACTTCTCTGAGCCTCAGTCTCCTCATCTATAAAGTAGGGATAGTGAACCCTACCTACATCACAGAGTTGCTGTGAGTTTTAAGTATAATACTATCTAGATTTGGGGCTAGGATCTGTCATAGCATAGGTTATGGCATTAAAATCTCTCCCATTCCTAATATCTCACAAAATGGTTCAGACTGTGGGTGGAGAGTTGTGGAGCCAGGGCTCGTGTGCCTGCAACCAAACTCTGACAGTAGGTGTTTGCATCAAAGTAAGGGTTTATTTGCAGGGCACCAAGCAAGGGAATGAGAGACAGGTCTCATTTCAGCTCCAACTTGGTCTTTGAGTTGGGGGTGTTTTTAAAGAGCAAGAACAAAGAAGCTGAGATTAATCATTTTATGACATAACTTAATCATAGTTTCAGGAGGTCAGGATGATTCTCTGGCCAGGTAGTCCATAGCTCAGGGGCTTGTTAGCTCACCTTGCCCCAGAAAAACAACCTGAGTATGTACGTTAATGATGATATCTACAACAGCAATTTGAGTACATCAGTGATGTTATGGACAACAGCAACCTTAGTTATCTGACACTGGTTGATTAGTGTTCAATTAGCATAGGATTGAGGTCAGAGGGAATAAGAAAGGGAATAAATTGCTGGATGGAGAGATTAATCACAAACCTGGTGAGGGAACTCAGTTTTAGGGAGAATCCATTTCAGGAGGAATGATTTCCCTTTGCCATTTCCTTCCCCTTCTTCCCTTTTCCTTTCATAGTGTTTAATAGGAAGAATGGAAATTATTTCTCCCCATTCCCCACAAACTATTACACCCATCTAACTCACTGCCTTATCTATACCTAATTTAGAAAAATGGATGAGATGCCATCGCCTGTATCTATTTTCTTTCCTTTATTATTCTACCAGACAACTCTCCTCTTTCTCCATTTGCAGTGTTGGGGCCATGGCTCCTGACTGGACACCACTACCTAAGTCTTGTGAGTAAGAAAGGTGTTTCAAGATTAAATGGTGGGGACGGACAGAGAGAAACAGATGGTGCCGCCAGAGTCAAGGGATGGAGCCCAGTCACAGGCTGAAGTACCCCATGTACTGTTGCTCTTCTCTCTTGTGCCCAAAGTAGACATTACTAATGAATGCATTTTGTTCCATTGAGTTCAGCCTCAGAGTTCTTCACAACTCATAAATAGAAACTATAACTTATAAATAGAAATTGAGTGGAGAGTAGGGCTGAAATTAGGGCTGGTAGTTCATTAACATACAGTTTTTGAGCACTGATTTTAAGTAGGTCCCTGTGTTTAGTAGCGAGGGGACGAAAAGATAGAACATTAGGTTCAATAATATATAATGATTTTTATTTAGCCCAATATATTTTAAAAATATTTCAACGTGGAATCAATACAAAAATATTAATGAGCTATTTTCCGTTTTTCATACTAAATCTTTGGAACTCAGGTGTATTTCGTACTTACACCACTTGTACAATTCAACTCAAACTAGTCACATTTCAAGTTCTCAAAAGCCACACATGGACAGCACTGTTTTTGGAGTCCCAGACATATCTGATTTGTGGGCACATATGCTCCCAGGGACTGCAAGGGTTACTTTAGGGCCGGCTGCCCCGCGGAACCGGTGGGAGTTGCGAACCCCAGCTCCGCGAAGCATGCCGGGAGTCGTAGTCAGCGCCCATCTGCCTGTGGGAGCCCCCTGGGAGTTGTAGGCCTCAGCCCTGTGGAGCATGCTGGGAGTTGTAGTCCGCGCCAACCTGCGGCGGGGTCTGCGTATTATGGCCGCCCACGCCGCGCTCCCGTCCTCTTCCGCTTGGCCTCAGAAAGTTTCGGTTCTGTCCCGCTGTGGACCTACGAGCGCGTAAGTGCTGCGGGAGGGTCGGCCGGACCCACGGGGTACCTGAGCTATTGTCGGCTCTGGAGCTGAGAACTTCCCTCCGGGTGTTTCTTATCACCTGTTGCCTTTACCATCGCCGCCCATCCCGGGTCTCCACAGACCGCTCTCGAGCCCTTACCCTTGCTTTGCTCTTTTCCGGCGGGCCTGGGAAGTAACTCAGGCCGATGAATCTGACCCGGCAACCCAGGCTGCCTCTGGGAATCAGTTAGAAAGACATACACCCCCCTACCCCTCCAAACACCAGTCCCAACACCCCCGACGGCCGAGAGACCGGTAAAGAGCCCACCATGTGTGGTCTCAGAACACGTTTTTGGAGTTTTTAAGCACAGAAGGACGCGTCCCGGAGTTTTTGCTTGCGTCGTCCAAGAGGCCGCTGACCTAAAGAAGCGTACTTCCTGGCTCAGCTGGGCCGGGACAGCCCAGACCTTAACTTGTGAGACTCCACTGTTGCCAAGATTTCTCCCTTCCTCCCGTAATGGAACGGTTGTTCATAACGAGCCATCCTCCAGGCCACAGCCCATTCTCTTCACCCACTGCCTCTTGTGCTCTGGTGCAGGGTCTCGAGATAGCCCCCAGGAGACGGTTCCTGAAACACCTGTGGATTTATGGATTGTCTGTGATGTGGATGCACCGGACTTAGGCTAGAGTCCATGCTGTTAAGAACCTAGGCTGGGGGATGTAAGGGGAGGGCTGAATTTCATTTTTCATAAGAAAAACGTGTCGGTTGACACCTTAACCACATGGCTCCTTATTAGTGAACTGCGTCCTCTGATGTCCCTTGTCAGTCTTCACAGTTCCATTGGCTGCCCTCTCCAGAAAAAAAAAATAGAGCACTCTTTGAAACTGCCCTTGTTGGCCACAGCCTCTGTACCCCTACGCTTGTCTTCCCGCAACAGTTTCCTTTCCAGACATAGAAATGGGTCAGGGACTTCTTGCCGACAGAGGATCAGGCCTTAATCTGCTCACTGCTCTCCTGCCACTTCCAACCTTGCGGTCTCCCCTGTAGCAAGCTTAACTCCCCTGCCATCTGCCTAGTGCGGGCTGCTGGGTATTGCAGCCAGGGAAGAGCTGTCACGCTGTCAAGCTGCAGTTTTCAGCTCACAGCAGCTCCCCCTTTCAGAAGTGGACCCATGCTGAGTGGGTTCCACTTGACCTTCCCTTCCATGACAGCTACTGTTCACAAACCATTGAATGCCCTGTACCAGTTATGGACCATTATTATTATCACCCTGGAAACCAGAGTTGGTTGTCTCCGTGATGGTACATGGCCTTCTTTGAGTAAAAGGATCTGAAAAGGCTTTAAGAAAAAGATTTTCTGTTTCTATTAAAAGTGTAGGTCTTTGTGTAGTGCTTCATTTGGTTTTTAAATTGCTTTCCACATTTTATTAGGAAAATAGTTAAACATACAGAATCATTGGGAGAATTATATAGTGAACATATACCCGCCTATTAAGTTCTACAATTAATATTTTACTTCGATTATTTTTGTGTTTTAAAGTCAACCCTCTAGCTGCTCCTTGGATGGTCTTTACTCCTTGTTGGCTGGCTTTTGGGCACTAACATGGTTTCAGGAGCCATGCTTTTTAACTTGGTTCTTTTAGGGGCAGAGTGGCTCCCACAGATGTTTGTGATGAGAGGAACCACCCTAAACAGCACAAGAGCAGAGTAGCTGGTGACTTTGACCCATGTTGGTCACCGAGGCCTTGGGCCGCTGCCTTCAGAACACGCAATAGGCACTCAAGAAATGGCAGTCCCTCTCTTCCCTTTAGGGAAGAGACTTGGCTAATGTGTTTTTTAGTGATTCCAAGAACAACTTCGGTGACTCAAAACTAGAATGTCTTTAAATTTGAGGCAGAGGAAGCGTGTTGACCAGCTGTGGTGTCAGGGTGAAAATCACTGATAGGAACTGATAGTTGAGCACATTCACTGGAGCAGCCCCAGGCAGCAGAGCAGGTAAGGCTTATTACTCACAGGCCCCCTCTGAGCAGAGATGAGTCGAGTTTGGCCTGTCAACATCTGCTCACCTAGTGGCCAGACGTCATTGTCTTGCTCTTGCTCAAAAGATAAACACTATTTGTGATTTCAGTGCCAGATTTTTTTTTAAGCTCTTGATTGGTGTAAGAGGCATTGTTTGAACAACTAGATAAATCAGTAGGGTGGGTATTGAAATGTTTATCTTGCTGTTTTTGTATGTGTCACTGTACCATCCCCATAAGAGTTTCAGCCACAGAACACATGAACTCCCAGGCTTGTAGGAGATGAGGAGGGCAGAGCTGTGCTCATTTGAGCAGGAGGTGTGTTTCCCACTTTGGAGCCAGTTAGCCTGATGGTTTTACTCTCCGCCAATGGTCCTTCCTGTTCTTGCAGGTCTCTGTGGCATTTGAAAGACACCATGCACCTACCTAGTTGGGCTTCTAGTTGGGCCCGATCCTGTGTGCAGGGATGAGGATGTGTGCGTCATTATGTTTCCGAGGGCAAAGTTAAAGAAAATCTGTGGTCTGGGTATAGTACTGTGGCTGTGTGGTTGGTTCCAGGGCCCAAGGGCAGGTCTGGCCAACCATCTCAGGAGCCTGGGAACTGCTCTCTAGGCCTGAGGCAGAAAACCAAGTTAGGGGAGCCCTTGGAATCCAGAAGAAAAACCTGAAGGGAAAAGCATGACAAGCAAGCCATTAGTCTGCAAAGGGCTAGGCCAAGAGGAGAATCCCTGTAGGTCCAGGATGGGCTGGCGACTGAACCAGAGGTGGTGGCTTAACATGGAGCTGGAGGGAATCTTTAGCCCCAGGTACTTTTTCCAGGACATCTGAAGCCTGAGTCAGGAGTGGGGCTTAGAAGCTTCAGCCAGGGTTCACCACTGAGAGTGTCTGCTCTTCTCCTTGCCCACCTCCTCCATGAAGGAAGGTAAAGGGTAACCTCCTTGCACTGCACCTTAAAAAAAAAAATACCCACACACAAGGTAGAAAGAGGTCAAATAACTTTCCCAGGACAGATAGATTGGCTAAAATTGCCTGAAAAGAGTTTGGTGAACTAAATGTACCATGCGTCTCACCCAGTCATGGCATGATCTTCATCACGTTATTTTTTGCATGATAGGAAATGAAAATTTCACAGGATGAATCTGATTCCAAAATCTAAATAGGGTCCAGGTTGGCAAGACTGTGATTGGTAAAAGAGAAGACACTTTTCTTGCTCACTGCCACCTCATGGATGTTTTCTCTGGGCTTTCTAGTGACCAGACCTCAGCCCTGCAGCCCCAGGTATGGTTGTGTGGCTGCTTCCTAAACGTCTGCTCACCTTCCTAAGAAAAACAGTCAGCTTTCTCTGGGCCCAGAAGCAACACCTCACATCCACAGGTCTCTCTTGACCCTGCTCTCCTGGGTCAGCAGACTGGAATCAGGACCAATTTTGTGTGTGTTCCAGGGGGAGTGACCAAGAAACTTGGGATTGTTGGTGCGGGGGAGGAGTCCAAGGGAAGAGTCAAGAAGTGATGTCTCAAGTCTTTGTTCCCTCTAAGAAAGAAAAGATTGCAAGTCAGGAGTGTTGGAGCAAGGTAACCCAGGCCTGCAGTTGGTCAGCACTTTAATCATAGGTCTTTAATTACAATTGGGTGGCCTGACAAGCCTGTGTTCACGTGTGCTGAAGTGTCAGCCTCTGAGCTGGCCTCTGACAAACTCCCAAGCACTCTCTTAGGCACCGTCTTGAAGCCCTGGTGAGGGCAGCCTGCCCGCCCAACGACCTTTTCAGCACTGAGCCCCAGGACCTCCAGGCCTTCAAAGCTGCAGGTACCAGTCAAGTACCCGCCTTTCTACGGGTGGTAACTAGAGAGATACTATTGGGTGTGCTGAACCAGGCCAAGGCAATGGTCTCTTCAGACAGGCTTTCTCCTTTTGACTAATTTGAACTATCCTTGTTAACATTCTTTCCCTGTCAGGGTGGAGTTGTCAACTGGAGTGCTCCACCTTGTTCGGGCGTCAGGGAGGAGTCAACTGTATGGTGCCCTTTCTGGGTCAGGTCTTACTATTGTGTTGGCAGCAGGTACCAAAAACTTCCAGGCAGGGCCAAGTTGTCTTCCGTGCCCCAGACCTCCTCCTCTCCTTCAGATCCTTCTTTCCTTATGTGGCTACTTAGATGCTGTATTTTTCCTGCCAGAGCCAGTTTCTGGGCAACGTTATAAGTATTAGTCATTTACACCATCGTGTAAATAAGTTTACATGAGTCAGTTCTTTATGTCTTAATTTGAGACTAAACTGCTGTCTATTGTTTGAGGCATTTAGGGCATCTGGGCAGGTATAGGAGGAATTTGGAGGTCGGGGAAGATCTTTTATCTCTAAAATAACACCTAGGCTATAACTAGAAACTCAGGCAATAGTCCCAGGGAATACATAAAATTTTTTTAAAAAGCATTTAGTCCCTTCTTTATCAGAAGATGGGATGTTTTCAGACATTCTGGATAAGCTTAAACATAATTTTGAGTTGTTGGCAAGAGAATCCAGTGTTCCTCAAAATTTTATAAAATGAATTTCTCTGGTATTTGAAAGAGCTTGCCAGAGACAGTGATGAATAGTTTTACATGTCACACAGCAAAGGCCTTGGGTTCACGGTGGTGATTCGCACTTTGGAGGTTTATGAGGCACTGGAGTCCTGGGATCCTGGAGCCCTTCCCTCAGTGCCAAAGCAGCTGTGACCATGGCCATGGCCGTATGGACAGAAGCTGTCTCTGAGTGTCTCCTGAGTTAGGAAAGCAGTTTGCCAATCGATTGTAGAGGTCTCAGTCAGGCTGGTTCAAGCCAGAAGTCTGTGATCCCTGTGCTATAATAAGAAATACATATTGGTCTCTGTCTTTGGTTCCTGGCACAGAGCTTCTAACACCCTTGGAATTTCGTAATGGGAGTGTCTTGTTATTCCTAACAAACCCTTTTCACACTAGAGTTCATGCTAATATAAGACAACTCTTGTGGGCCCCTAGGTAGCTTCAGGGTGAGGGCTGGCTGCCAAGGGACCCCGCCTTAGGGTTAGAGGGTTGGCACTTGCAGCCTCACCCTTAGACCTGTGGTGAGTGGAGAGGGGCGGAAGGTGGAGTTAATCACCTGCCTGTGTAATGAAACCTCCATAAAGCCCCTAAATGATGGGCTTCTGAGAACTTCTGTGCTGATGAACACACTGAAGTGTTGCAGAGTGCGGAGCCCTGAGGGCATGGAGGGTCTAGCACCACCTCTCTTAACTCTCTTAACTCATCGCTTCCATTTGGCAGTTGCTGAACTGTAGCCCTTAAAATAAGCCAGTAATAGTAAACTGTCTCCCCAAGTTTTACAAGCTGTTCTAGCAAATTATTGGACCCGAGGAGGGATTGTGGGACCCCCTGGTTTATAGTCAGTTGGTTAAGAAGTACAGATAGCAACCTGAGACTAGCTATTGGTGTCTGAAGACAGGGCAGTCCTGTGGACTGAGCCCTTCACCTGTGGGGGCTGCACTAACTCTGGGTAGTTATCCTTAGAATTGAATTGAATTGAATTGAAGGACACCCAGTGGTGTCAGCTGGATGTCAATGTGGAGAAAAGCCACACATTTGGTGTGAGAAGTGTTGTAAGTAAAAAACAGCTCATCCCTAAACCAAAGGGCAAGCTTCTCTAGAGACCCAAGGAAGTTGACCATGGAGTGGAGAGAGACAGTGCCCCATTTTGTGTCTTCTGAAGGTTAATAATGGCCTCAGACCCAGGAAAAAGGCCGTAAAGCCGAGTCATCCTTTCAGAGTCCTTGAAAATAGCACTCCTACAGTGACCACCATTTGCTTCCTGTGAGGTGGCAGTCCCAGCCCAGGTGGGAAGGCCCACTGTGGCCTACAGGCCCAGCAGCCAGTTTCTCAGGGCTCATCACCTTGGTGGTGACGCAGGCTTTTTGGAAAATCAACTTGTGTCATCAGCGGTTGGGCACTGCTCACCCCGTGACCTCGGGACTTGTCCTGGACTGGTGGAGGACACTCCACGCTCAGCAGGGAAGGCCTCCTGGGCTTGGGCTGACATCTGCAGCGTCACCAAGGTACCAAGAAGTCTTGAAGGAGCATGTTTCTGTCTATTCAGGTTCATCGTGCCAAGGTGCCAATTTGGCCTGCAGACACTGTCTCTCTTGTGCCAGGCTCCAAAGGGGGCTGATTTCTAGGAAATCCAGCTGTTTGTATCCTCACATTGTCCTGGCCAGAGCCTGAAGGAATTGACTCGGAATCCGTCATTGTTAGCGCTTTCTTCCCCAGTTCCGCCCTGCCCGTCCTGTGCAGGTCTTATCCTAGTTTTAAGTAAGTGTGCACACAGACCCAATGGACTTGATTTGAGGATTTATGGGGTATTATTTTTCTTCCAAGATTATTTCTCCCAGAAACTGCAAAGCTCTCTGTTGACTGTAGTCAAGTAAGAGAAATGTGGGTGGAGAAACGGCCATTACACCTGCCGTTCCCTCTACTTGGCACCCTTTCCTCCTCGGGTCTCTTCCATGACCTCCTGTTCATTTTTCAGGCCTTGCTCAACACAGTTGCCATCACAGAGTGTTCGCCACCCTCTCCCTTCCCCACGCAGAATGCATGTTCCCTTCCTCAGGTCCCGTTGCATCTTGCTAAATTCACCTCAGTACTGTTATTTTTTGGTTAAGATATAATTTACAGTATGTGAGTTTTGAAAAACATATGTTCATCACATATATACAGTCATGTAACCACCACCATAATCAAGACTCAGAACAGAATGGCCTCCCCACCCCCGCTGCAATTTCTGCATACTCTTGTAGTCAAACCCTCCCTTCCCCGTCAGCCCCAGGCACCATGGATGTGATTTCTCCCCAGTGTTTGGCCTTTGCAAGAATAGCATGCAAGTAGAATCACAAAGTAGGAAGCCTTTCAGTCTGGCTTCTCTTCTTCAGTATAGGTCACTTGTCGTGTATTCGTGGTTCATTCTGTCTCCTTGATGAGTACGCCTAACTTTTTATCAATGTCTGCATGGGCCCCTCCTGCCGTATCCAAGTATCTGGATATTTTCTGTTTTCTTGATGCACTCTGAGCTCCCCCAGGGCTGGACGGTGCCTTGTGTGCCCCTGTGTCCCCAGGCTGCATGGAGTAGGCACTTGACAGTGTGGCGCCCGGGCAGCTGTGCATTGTCAGTGACGGTCCTTATCCTCTCTTCCTCTTCAGAAGGAGCAAGTGTCTGCCTGACAGCAGAGCCCCTGCAGAAGTCTGGCCGAGCCTGGGCCCCAGCGGGTCCCTGCTC